ATAATAATAATAATAATAATAATAATAATAATAATAATAATAATAATAATAATAATAATAATAATAATAATAATAAAGTTGGAAGGGACCTTGGAGGTCATCGAGTCCAACCCCCTGCTCAGGCAGGAAACCCTACACCATTTCAGACAAATGGCTGTCCAGTCTCTTCTTAAAAACTTCCAGTGTTGGAGCATTCACAGCTTCTTCTATTCCATTCCATATTTTCTATTCTATTCTATTCTATTCTATTCTATTCTATTCTATTCTATTCTATTCTATTCTATTCATTCTAATTCTATTCTATATTCTATTTCATATTCTATTCCCTATTCCATTCTAATCTATATCCTTTTCCATTTTATTCCATATTCTATTCTATTCTATTCTATTCTATTTTATTCTATTCCATATCCTATCCTATCCTATCCTATCCTATCCTATCCTATCCTATCCTACTCTATTCTATTTATTCTCAAGTGTGCTCTTTCTGTTGGTGGTGTTGTTTATATTCCACTATTAATATTAATATTAATATATTCCACTATGAATAAGGTAAGGAAGGGTTTTTTTGTTCTCTTTTTTTTTTAATGTTTCTTTGGCAAGGGAGACCCTTCTCTCAAAATCAGAAAAGTCTTTTCAGGTAAATACACAGTGCATCCCTCTGTGGCTCCAAGGCAACCTTGGCTAACTAACCTGGATTCTGCAATCAGGCTTCCCAGTCTGATAATGTCAGTTAGCCAGACCCACCACCTTCACCTTTGCACTGGGAAGACCAGTGACCACGTCCTCCGCATTTGAAGCAAGTGTCATTACTCCGGTCCACAAGCCTGCCACCTCCACCAAACAGTTGCCCCTTTTTCTGCCACTTCTGCTTCCACACCTAGGGGGGAAGCAAAATACAGGTGAGGCAAAGAGACCTGTTTCATCCTTCCCTGCGTAGCTGGTTTCAGGGAATTATCCAAGGAGCCATCCCGCCCCAATGGGAATAGCCCACCCAACTTGTTGCAGCAGAAGAGGCTGCTGCAGACCCCATTGGTCAAGGGATTCTGGCCGGCGGACTCCAGGAGAAGAACCGTTCCTATTGTGGACCCGGCCCTGTGGAACATCCTGCCACTGGAAATGAGAACTGCTCCCACTCTTTTGGCCATCCGGGAGGGTATCAAAACCTGGTTTCGCCACATGGTTTGGGGCCCCAAGAGAGGCACATTCTGCTGAAGTGGCTGATGGGATAAGAAGTGGTTGATGGGATAAGAAGGCTTCGTTTCCCCCCCCCTCGGTTCTAGTTTTTATATAGCATTGTCATTGTAATTGTTTTTATACCGATCTTTTTAAAGACTTGTAAGTTGTCCTTATCAGGGAAAAAGAGCAGCATATATAACTTTAATTAATTAATTAATTAATAAAGCAGAAGAGAAATTGGGCTAGCCTTGCTTGCTCTTTCAGTAAGACCCGTGGTTTTAACTTCTAATACAGGTAGTCCACAGCTTACAACCACATTCGTTTAGTGACCGTATGAAGTTACAGTCGCACCGAAAAAAGGGACTTATGACCGTCTGTCACACAACCACTGCAGCATCCGGGCGTGTATTTATGACAAGAGGCGATCCCCTTTTGTCACTTTCTGACAAGCCAGGTCAACGGGGAAGCTTAACCACCGTGTTGCTAACTTTAACAGTTGCAGCAATTCACTGAATAACTGTGGCACTGCAACGTCGTAAAACGGAGCCAAATTCACTTAACTGCCTTGCTTAGCAATGGAAATGTTGGGCTCACTTGTGGCCAAAGTCAAGGACTACCTGTAGGTTAAGTCAAGGACTACCTGTAGTCAATTCTCCAGCATGGGGGTGGGGGGTGGGGGGGAAGCAACCAAGCATGAAATCTGAGAAACGATTAAAAGCTCTAAATGAAGGTTGGTTATAAGGCAACTATCATGGTTCCGACAGATGAAACTCTTCAAAGAACTTTGAGGCATTGTTTACCTTAAAGAACCTTTAATCGAGCAACACAGCTTCGGCACGTACATAGTCCAAGCCAAAATCTGACTGCCCCTCCCTTCAGCACATAGATCAAAGCACAATTCCCTTCTACAACTAACAGTCATAAATCACATTCTTCAATTAGTTTGAAATGCTGGCTTTCCACCCAGTTCTTTATCCCCGCCATGCCTTATCAGCTCTTATTACAATACTAGCTGTACCCGGCCACGCGTTGCTGTGGCTCAGTCTGGTTAAATGGAAAAGAAAGTGCACGTTTCTAGTATGTTTAATTTCACAATGGTTGTGGGTATACAATATTTTTTGTTGTTCCATTGTCTGTGCATCGATTCCAACGCAATGTCAAACGAAATAATTAAATCAAAATGAAAATAAATCGAAATCTATGAAAATTCAATTTAATAATGCAATCGGAAACATTGGAATGGAATCGTAAAATTGGAAATTTGGAAATCGTAAATGGATCGTAAATCGGAAACATTGAAATGGAATGGTAAAATCGTAGCGTGTCTTGCTTTTACGTCCAACAGATGGCGCTGTTTTTCAAAAAAAGCATGTTTTACCTGTCACAGGTGTGACATCTATATAATATAGGTATATAAAAACATGCGCGTATTTGAATGCAACGTTGTGTCAAAATTTCCAAGCAATCGGTGAAGAACTTTCGGAGATTTAAGATTTTGAACAAACGAACATTTACATTTTTATTTATATAAGAACTGTATGTCTAACTAACTCCCATCACATACCTCTCCCTCCCCCAGTATCATCTAATTCTAAGAGTAAAGCATAAGAAAGAAAAAGGCTGCATCTCCATATGTTGTCAGAGCAAGAACATCCAATGTTAGCAGCGTTGACAGCAACTTACCTGCTTGCGCAGGTGTTTTCCCTTCAAGCTGTAGCTCTTTACGTGGGATTTCGTTTTCATATTGAGCCGGACAAAATTGCCACATTTCTTCGGTGGCTGCCTGGGGGGAAAAAAAAACTCATTACCAATGAAAAGCAGGGCTATCCGACCTTGGCAACTTTAAGACTTGAGAACTTCAGCTCCCAGAATTCCCCAGCCAGCTCCTGACTCCAGGAAAAAGCGAGGGATATACAGTACCTGAAGCTTGGCATGACGGACTTCCCACTCCTCTTAGGGCCGTTTTCCTCAATGAGGTCTCCAAGTATATTTTCAGAAAGAAGTGGAGCCGTCTTCTTTTTTCCCTCTTGCACTTTGACGGGGTCTTGGTCAAAGTCGTATTCGTCCTTTCCTGGGTTTTGACTGACAGGGCGCAGTTTTTTGACAACCCGCTCTTTAGTCCTTTGGCGCTTGGCACAAACGCCGTGTTTAGAACTGCCCAGAGCAACTTCTTCATCAGCTGCAGGATCCAGACGCCTCTTCTTGCTTGACGTTTTCCCTGCCTCGGTAAGGGGAGGCTGCCCGCTCTCCCCATCACACAAAGCACCCCTCAGCCTGGATGAAGCTCCTTGCAGGAGACGCTCCTCCGTGTTCCGGCTGCCATCTTTCCCGCCAGTTTTCAGGCTCTGCATCGGCTCGGCGGTGGGAGTTTCAGCACTGGTTTCCTGGAAGGCTACACCGATCCTTTCTCGGTCCGAAGCTGGATTATTATCCTGTGTGCTCGCTGGACCGAGGCCTTCGGGATTTTGCCTCTCCAACACGCCCTGCTGACGGTTTTCCTGAAGAGATTTGCAATCCTTTTCCCATTTTCTTTCTCCAGGTTGGGAAAAGGGAGTCTGTGTTTGGAAGGAAATGCGTTCTGCCAATCCTCGGCACGGCTCCGTCCCATTAATTGGGTCCAAGCTGCAGTCTTTGATTTGTTCCTCTCTACTCTCCAATTTTGTACCTTGGCACCTGTCTAGCCACCCAGCATCCAAACTGCTCAGTCGCTTCGTTACTGTCTGCTTTTGCCATCGCAACTGGTCCGACGATGGCAGTCTCGGTTTCGGACCAGGAAAACAGAGCTGAGTACCAGCCAGGTCTGGAAACGAAGAAGGAAGAAGAGCTGTAAGTTCCTTGGCATTAGAAGCAGGCAAGTCACTGGGCTTAGCTTTTAACGAAGGAGCTTCTGGTGATGGGAGAGGCACCACCTTCTCAGTTTGAGGTCCGTCCTGTGCTACTTTAACTGGTTTCCTTTTGGGAGTGAGAGATCTCCTTAAAGTTATAGGACATTCCTGGGATCAAAAGTAAAAAAATCAGTTAGTAGAATCAGATGGATATCGGTAGTGAAAATCTCCTGAAATCTAACATTTATTACATTTTATGCTGCTACTTGCAAATTCCTTGCATATTTTATTTACCCAATTTATATGGCCATCCATCTAAGAAACTCTACACAATGAATACATTCTTCACTCCACAGGCCAAGAGGAGAACTAAGTCATTTTGGAAGGTTTGGGCCTAAATGTTGAGACTCTAGAAAGAGTACAGAGAAGAGCAACAAAGATAATCAGGGGACTGGAGGCTAAAACATATAAGGAAAGGCAGCTGGAATTGGGTATGTCTAGTTTAATGAAGAGAAAGATGAGGGGGGACATGATAGCAGTCTTCCAATATCTCAGGGGCTGCCCCAAAGAAGAGGGAGTCAAGCTATTCTCCAAGGCGCCTGAAGGCAGGACGAGAAGCAAGGGATGGAAACTCATCAAGGAGAGAAGCAACCTAGAACTAAGGAGAAACTTCCTGACAGTGAGAACAATTAACCAGTGGAACAGCCTGCCTCCAGAAGCGGTGAATGCGCCAACACTGGAAGTTTTTAAGAAGAAACTGGACAGCCATTTGTCCGAAATGGTATAGGGTTTCCTGCCTAAGCAGGGGGTTGGACTAGATGACCTCCAAGGCCCCATCCAACTTTATTATTAGTATTATCATCATCATCATCGTCATCATCATTAAATTTACAAGATAACCCTCCTTTTCTCCCTTACACTATTTACAACATGGATCTCAAACTCGTAACGTCACATGATGTGTTGCGACGTATCGCGACTTTCCCCCCATTGTCGGCAATGGAGTGGACGCGGTTTTGGCGTGATGCATCCAGCCTGCCGGCTGCCATTTGACACCCCTGATTTACAAGGTCAGAATTCAAACAATCAAGATCACATATTGGGTTAATTACATATAAAGTATGACAGCCTTTAGTTATTTTTATTTACTCGCATCATAAAATTATATTTAAAATAAAAGATAAACGGGGTCACTAGGTAACCTGACCTGTTTTTGAAAAAGTAAAGGAACAGAGGGAAACAATTCCTTTTAATTTTCTCTCTGCACTCTATTTTTCTGTTTTTTCTTGAGATTTATTTCTCTCTCTGTTTTTGGACGAGAGTGATATATCTGTGGAAGGCCATTTTTCTAATTTTCGTTTTATTTGATTTTCTTATGGTCACATCACACTGTTATTTTAATGTATTAAAATAACAAACGTAGACTTTCCTTCCAGATCAAATGTTGTTGAACAGTTCTGAATTAGTACTAGCTATGAGCCCAGAGAATGCTATGGGAGATATCTATAGTGTTGTTGTTGTTGTTGTTTGTTGCAAAGTCCTGTCCAACCCATCGCGACCCCATGGACGTTCCTCCAGGCCTTCCTGTGCTCCACCATCTTCTGGAGTCCATTGAAGATCATGCCTCCTGCTTCGGTGACTCCATCCAGCCACCTCGTTCTCTGTCGTCCCCTTCTTCTCTTGCCCTCCATCTTTCCCAGCATTAGGCTCTTCTCCAAGGAGTCCTTCCTTCTCATTAGGTGGCCAAAGTCCTTGAGTTTCAACTTCAGGATCTGGCCTTCTAAAGAGCAGTCGGGGTTGATCTCCTCTAGGACTGACCGGTTGGATTGCCTTGCAGTCCAGGGGACTCACAGGAGTCTTCTCCAGCACCAGAGTTCAAAGGCCTCCATTCTTTGGCGCTCAGCCTTTCTTATGGTCCAACTTTCACAGCCATACATTGCAACTGGGAAAACCATGGCCTTGACTATACGTGCTTTTGTTGGCAGGGTGATATCTCTGCTTTTTAGTACGCTGTCTAGATTTGCCATGGCTTTCCTCCCCAGGAGCAAGCGTCTTCTAATTTCTTGGCTGCAGTCCCCATCTGCGGTGATCTTGGAACCCAGGAAAATAAAATCTGTCACTACCTCCATTTCTTCCCCTTCTATTTGCCAACTCAAAACGAGATGTAATAGTCTTATGTTTATTGACAACAGAGCAAGGATAAGAAAGAAATTAAATTGGCCCCTTTGCTTCTTTAGTGACTTTCATCCTCCAGAAGTCAAGCTACAGTACTTCTACATTCAAAACTATGATCTTTTGCACAATATATATTGCACTGTATGCATTCAGAAAATACAACAATGTAGCAGTTAAGCATGTTTTATGCAATTCTCAACAATTACAAACTTTTCAGACCTTAATTTTTGCACCTAAGTTGCATTTCAGCTTCATCCCATAATGCTGTGCCGAGGCCTGCAAGGCCTCTGGATTCTGCTGGGTCAGTTTAGGAATCTTCTGCCCTCGATTCAGGTGTGCTCCCCAGGAACCGAAATCAGATGCCTTAAAAAGTAGAGCCAAGCAGAGAGAAAGACAACTCAGTTGTTAATGTTAGTATCGTATTTTAATGTTAGTATCGTATTTTCAAAAAGACCCGGACAGAGCCACAAACTTGACAGTCTTTTTATGGGTTGCCCTCTTGTGTGAATGCAGTGGGTGTGACTAATCAATAGTTTGCACTATGCAAATTGAGATAGTTGGGTTAAATGAGCAAACTATGATTAGGTAAACTAGGGTTTGCAATGTGCAAACACAACCAGTGAGTTTTGGACGCTGGGTACAAAAGGAGTGAAGGAAATGTTAACTAGCCATAGGAAATTTCAGGGGAAATGATAAGGTGTTCTACAACTCACTTAACAAGTCAATTAAACATCTAGTGGCTGCATTTGCAAAATACATAAGCTTGGTTAGTTTGAATCTGGGCTTACTTTTTGTGGTTCAATGTATTGTATTGTGTGAACCCATAAATGTGACTGCTATAGTAACTAGATTTAGCATATTGCACAAACACAAGCAGGTGTTATTAAAGCAAGTTTTGCTTTAAAGCAGGGGTCTTCAAACTTGGCCCTTTTTATGACTTGTGGACTTCAACTCCCAGAATTCCTCAGTCGGCCATTTTGATGAAACTGCGGGCTTGGATCCAGACCAGGGGTCTTCAAACTTGGCCCTTTGATGACTTGTGGACTTCAACTCCCAGAATTCCTCAGCCAGGCACACGTGCCTGGCTGAGGAATTCTGGGAATTGAAGTCCACAAGTCATCAAAGGGCCAAGTTGGAAGACCCCTGCTTTAAAGGAAGAAGGCAAAATGATTTTTTTCCCCCTTCAGGATCAGGGTTCAAAGAGAATAACCTATTTGCAAAACTGATTAACTCATTCATTACCTTTTCCGGTGCTTCAGGTTCCTGATTTTCTTGGTGGCAGCTCTTGACAGATTCAGCAAGATCACGGCTCTCCTTGGATTCCTTTAGAGCCTTGTACTCTCTGTACAGTGCTGGGCATGAACGAGAATTTTGAGCTAAGACTCATACAGCTAAATTAATTCTGAAATCCATCCGATACACAATCTTTCTTAGGTAGCAGGCTATTCGACGACTATATTCACTTTGCACAGAAAATAGCTTCAAATTCAAAATATGAGGGGAAGGAAGAAGAGGTTCGTGTAATAAACAACCTGGAATTAAGGAGAAATTTCCTGACAGTCAGAACAATTAACCAGTGGAACAACTTGCCTCCAGAAGTGGTGAATGCTCCAACACTGGAAGTTTTTAAGAAGAAACTGGACAGCCATTTGTCCGAAATGGTATAGGGTTTCCTGCCTGAGCAGGGGGTTGGACTTAATGGTCTCCAAGGTCCCTTCCAACTTATTATTATTATCATAAACAATATGTTAATTAATCGCTCGATAGCCTTCTTCAGTAAGAAGTCACTTTTGACAAAACATATAGCAATGCAATCAAAATGAGGATCCATTTTTGTTATAAAATCATTGCAATTAGCACCTAGTTTAAAAGTTTTAGATGCAAATTTCTAGTCTTCCTTCCGTTCTGATAAGAAAATGATCAAAACATAGCACTTTAAATGTTTGCAAATAACTATCACTTTCCACTGATCAAAACTGATGCTCTATCACATCGACTAGTGTACCTCCAGACCCAGGACTGTAATGCGCTGTAGGGAAGAATCATGCTTACTTTTTATTTTTTCAGGAGCATCCAGAACATCTGCCTGGAAAACAAACACAAAGAAATAATTTCAGAAATCTGCTTGATTTCACTTGTGTTGCAAATGGTTTAATTAGTCTACATATATAACAATGAAATCTATTGTAATGAGATATTAAATCACATTCAAAATACCTTGTTGGGCTTCCTCTGGTGCTCCTGAAAAAAAGAAGTCTCCCATTTTTTCAGTAGGATCTTAATTTTGTCCAAAGGGTCCATAGTTCCATTTGACAATTTCCCCGAAAACTGTATGAAAAGACAGAACGTCAGGTGAATTAGCCCCAAGGAAACTCCATCAGAAGGTTTAGCAAGAAATACCAAGAGAGAACGATACCAATACGAACAGGACAATATCCAAGTCCTTGACCCAAACATCAATCACTGCACAATATTCTCATTCAGATTTTGATATACAAGTCAGCAACTTTAAAATTCCACTTTAAGGTATTGTATTCATTGTCCTGCAGTTTAAGTATACAGAATATGAATAATATGTATAGACGCACAGTGTACATACATACATACACACACACACACACACAGTTAATACGGAACTGGAGATTCTTTACAGAGGACACATATCATGGCTGAGGTGGCATTATTATTTGAGAGTTTGTCCTATCAAAGGTATGACAACAGAATTACTGGTTGTTTTTTTTCAACATGCTAACATTATTTAATAAATTATGGTTCCTTGCACAGTCAGCCAGATGTTCAGATAGGATTTGGCATTTTTATCCACCTCTTGAGTTCTTCCCAAAAGACCTAGGATAGGCAGATGTTGATGTCTGATGCGATTAGAGGTACCGTCGCAGGATGTAAACTGCTCTGAGTGAAGCTGCCTTCTGCAATTGACTGATAGTGAATTTGTCAACACCGATGGTGTTCAAGGGATGCTCCAGATGTTTTGGGATTGCATCCACGGCAATCCAATCCTTTCACTATTGGATTGACTTGGGTCAGGGGTAGGCGACTTTGGCTCAGCTGGCTCAGGAATTCTGGGAGTTGAAGTCCACGAGGCATAAAAGAGCCAAGGTTGCCTACCCCTGACTTGGGTACATATTTATTTTCTTTAATAAATCATCATTGTGGCTTTCCTTTCTTAGGAAGGCACAAGGCACAAGAATAGGGGGTTTATATGAACCCACAGACCCTCTGCACCATTTCTGCCTTTAGATTCCAGAAAGGAAAGCGCAGAAGGTAGAGAAGCAGGAGGAAAAGCCAAGGAAGGTGACAAATGGAAGAAAGGAAGCCAAGAACGGTGGGGCAGAGGCCTGGCCTGCAAATCTTGAGAATCCCAAAATAACGATTTATAAAATAATCAAGGCAAGTATATATATAAAAAATCCAATCAAGTTAAATCAATTAAACCCCCCCTCGCTTTCAAAAAAATCAAATAAATGAATGAATAAATAAATAAAATCCCCCTTTGCTTTTCAGCAGGGCATAAGAAATAAAAAAAAAAAACCTTGCTTTCCAAATAAATAAATGTGAGACCTCTGTGGATAAATAAAACCTTTTGCTTTCATATATATGTATATGATCGCCAACGTCCGATAACGGATATGGCACAAGAAGAAGAAGATATATGTATATGTATAGTAAGTGTTTTCCAGTGAAACCGGTCTAATAGAACAGGGCTTTTCAACCTTTTCACCCATTGTACCACTTTTAGGATATGGCAATATCCGAGTATCACCAGTCGCCTAGTAAGGGGTCAAAAACTTGATGACCAAAAAAAAAAAAAAAGAAAAAAAGTGATAAAGTACAGGTAGTCCTTGACTTACAACAGTTCGCTTAGTGACTGTTTGAAGTTACAATGGCACTGAAAAAAGTGCCCCCCAAGCCACAGCCGAACAAGACCCCTGCCTGCCCACCCGGCCGCGCTCTTCCTCCTGTCCGAGGTTTTCATTGTTGTGAGCATTTCTGTTGAGGATTGGCAGTGGGGGTGGGGGGGGTTTGGTTTTTATTACCCCTCCCCGTCTGCTGGGTGGCTGCAGCAGGTTTTGGTCACTTCACATGACCCTGGGACACTGTGACCTGGAGAGACTGCAATATCCCAGCTGATCGGTGCTTCTTCTGGGCTCAGAAGCACCAGGATCAGCGCCGAGCTCCAGCTGGAGCCTGGCGCTGATCCTGGCGCTTCCGCTGAGCCCTGACAGCCCTGCAGCTCCAGCCATCTCTCGCTCAGGCTTGTGCAGTGCTGTCACCGGTTCAGCTCATTCCCCTCCCCCGCTACCACTTTTCTAGGATGGCCGCGTACTACCTGCCAGGTGCCAATGTACCACAGGTGGTACCCGTACCACTGGTTGAAAAGCCCTGTAATAGAACACCTGGTCTACTGCTATGATTACTTTTGCCTTTCAGCCCCAATCTTGGAGCGTTTTGCAGGCTCAAGTCACTACTGCGATAAACTATTTCTGTAAATTTAGATTTTGCTGAGAAAGAGTTAAAGCAGTGGTTCTCAACCTTTTTAATGCCGCGACCCCAACCGGTTGTAAGTCGAGGACTAAACCGGTCGTAAGTCGAGGACTACCCAACCGGTCGTAAGTCGAGGACTTTCCCTGCCCGGGAGTGCCGCGCATGCGTGGTTCCGCCCCCTGCGCCGGCCAAGGCGTAGCTGGCAAGCGGCAGAGACGGAGCAGGCCGACCGCCAGCTGGCCCAGCCCAAGGGAGGTAAGGCACCCGCCAGAAAAGGGAAAAAAATGGCGGACAAAAAAAATGGCGGACAAAAAAATGGCAGACAGCCTTGCTTGGCGACCCCCATGAAATGGTTGATCGACCCCAAATGGGGTCCCGACCCACAGGTTGAGAACCACTGAGTTAAAGGGAGACTAGTATAGCTATTTCCAGCTATTTAGCTCTCATCACTTAGCTAGGTTGGAATCTCAGAAAGGTATGGCTAGCTGATGAGAGCTAAATAGCTCAAAATAGCTATACTAGTCTCCCTTTAACTCTTTGTCAGCAAAATCTAAATTTACATATATATGTATGTATATGTGTATATATATGTGTGTGTGTGTGTATACCAGACTTGAACACTGGGCGCTATCTAACAAAATGAAATTCAGTGGTGAAAAAAGTAAGGTTCTACATTTAGGCAAGAAAAACCAAATGTACAGGTATAGTACTATAGGGGGTACCTTGCTCAATAGTAGCAACTGTGAGAGGGCTCTCGGAGTCGTAGTGGACAATCCCTTAAATAGGAGCCAGCCGTGTGCTGCAGCTGCCAAAAAGGCCAACACAGTGCTGGGCTGCATTAACAGAGGGATAGAATCAAGATCACGTGAAGAGTTAATACCACTTTACAAGGCCTTGGTAAGGCCACACTTGGAATACGGCATCCAGTTTTGGTCACCACGATGTAGAAAAGATGCTGAGACTCTAGAAAGAGTACAGAGAAGAGCAACAAAGATGATCAGGGGACTGGAGGCTGAAACATATAAGGAACGGCTGCTGGAATTGGGGATGTCTAGTTTAACGAAGAGAAGGACGAGGGGGGACAGGATAGCAGCCTTCCAATATCTCAGGGGCTGCCCCAAAGAAGAGGGAGTCAAGCTATTCTCCAAAGCGCCTGAAGGCAGGATGAGAAGCAATGGGTGGAAACTAAGCAAGGAGAGAAGCAACCTGGAACTAAGGAGAAACTTCCTGACAGTTAGAACAATTAACCAGTGGAACAACCTGCCTCCAGAAGTGGTGAATAGTCCAACACTGGAAGTTTTTAAGAAGAGACTGGACAGCCATTTGTCTGAAATGGTCTAGGGTTTCCTGCTTGAGCAGGGGGTTGGACTAGATGACCTCCAAGGTCCCTTCCAACTTTATTATTATTATTATTATTATTATTATTATTATTATTATTATTACATATATACACACACATACACAAATATATACATATACATATACACAAACATACATATACATACACATATATACACACACATATATACACGTACACACACACACACACACACACACACATAAATATATAAATGTGAGACCCCCCCCATCGCTTTTCAGCAGTGGACTTGGGCCCCCAAAGGCCGCCCAATGGGACGGGGGGGCGCTGTGAGGGGGCTGGAGGGGGGTCCCGGGCGCTGCCCCCACCTCCGCACGGAAGAATTGTGCAAAAACCGGCTCCCAAATCTCTCTCTTATTCCAGGATTGGGACGCTGCGCCCCCCCTCCTCCGCCCCTTACGAAATCGTGCCTGCCCCTGGCTTGCCTGGGCCAGGGCCTCCCCAAGGAGGGTAACACGCGAGGAAGAGGAGGAGGAAGAAAAAGAAGCCGGGTCCCCCGCCTTCCCCGCCGGATAAACCTACAGGAAAGCCCGCCGTCCGAGGCCGCTGCGGATCTCCCGCGCCCAGCCTGACAGGATTTGCCGCTCCCGCGCGATTCCCGAAGCGCCGACCAATAGGAAAGAGAATGGCCCTCGCTTAGCCAATCAGCGCTCTCCTCCCCGTGCTGGGCGCCCCTGGAAACGGGGCCCGGGAGGCGGGGACGCCGTCTGCGCGTGCGCAGCGAAGTACGGAGGCCGCCGAGGGACCGCTCGTCCGGTCTGAGTCGCGCGGGGGGGGGAGGCGGGCTACGGGGAAAAGCGCGGGCCAGACGGAGCGAGACGCGGGTAAGGGCGGAGGGGCGTTTCGCGGGCCTCGGCGGGCGCCGTTGCCATGGAGACCCCCTTCAGGATCTGAGGAGCGTGGGGGAAGGGAGGCCCGGAGCGGGCAAGGCCCCGATCCCCGGTAGCTGTTGCTGAGGGGATTTTTCTCGGGCCCTGCCTGCGGGGGGGGGGGAGAAGGAGGCCGTTAGTCCGGGTCCATCTGTGGGCGGGAATCTAGGCCTCTTGGGAAGCCCCCCCCCGCCGATCTTCCTGCCCCCCAGGAGCCCCCTTTCATCTTTAGGGGGCTTTCCGGGGGGGCGCCCAATAATTGGGGAGGGATGCTGAGGGAAAATTAGGCTCCCTCAGGGGGTCCTCTTGGAGGGGAGGGGGGCGATGGGCGGGTCATCAGGAGAGGCCGTTTTAAAAAAAAACAACACCCCCCATTTAAATTTATTTATTTATTTATAAAATTCATTTTTATTTATTTATTTATAAAGTTTACGTGGTTTATAAAATGTATGTGGATTGGTAAAATGTATATGTTTATAAAATGTGTATTGTTTATTTATAAAGTTTGTGTCGTTTATAAAATGTATATGGTTTATAAAATTTATATGGTT